TCGTAGCACATATTTCTATGCATTCCTGTGTTTACAACGTTGGCATTGTTCCAAAATCACGCACATTCTCCTTTCTCCCTGTTTGCTGGAGATACAGTAGCTTTTTTTAAATACAATTGGTCACTTGTGTCCGTAGCACGCATTCCTATTGAGTGGTATAGAATTACAGAGTATCTCTTGTGTCCACTGAAGTATTAGTGCGCACTGTGTCATAGTACGTAGGCTGCGTATTCGACACGTATAAAAATACAAAATATGAAAACCCGTCCCGATTTTTTCAGAGCACACAACACAGTTCCAGGGTCATTTGGCGTACCACCTGGCGGCACGCCACATACCACTGCAGGTACGCATACCACAGTTTGAGAACCACTGCTGTATATAATGCTTGTGGAAAAGTAACACATTTTGTATATTATGTTTTTGGGAAATAACAAATAATCTAATCTCTAATCACTGAAGTCCAAAGCAAAATCAAACCTGTTGTAGGCTACTAATTTCAGGGGCCTGTACATGTTAAGTATTTCAAGACTCAAAATACAATACAACATATGCATCGCTTCCTAGTGCCTCTGCTCAACAAAATAGCCCAAAACATCATCCACTCTATCTTCTCCAACCATTAAAACAGTTTGCATTCCCATGAAAAGAACACTACAAGACTCTGAAAAAGGCCACATTTTCATGCTATTTAAAATACTCTAAACCATTTATTTCTGGAATAATTAATTTCACTAATCAAAATACAAAAGCAACAAAAAACAATGTTAATTAAATCCATAGAAACATAGCTGACTGGTTCCAGATGATTCATTTTGTCCTGATGCACAGCTGGGATTGCAACACAGGAGCCCCAACAAAATGCTGTTAATGAAATAAGGATTTAGCAAAGTATGATTTTTTATTTTGTTCCTTTATGTCTAGAAAATACTGATAATTAATCCATGAAATGTCTCACAGAAACACTGCCTAATATAATATTTATTGATTTTCAGCTCTCTTCAGTTTTTCTGTGTTCTTGCTGTGCTGGTATGAAGTAAATAGAGACAGAGAAAGCACAAACCAACTTACCAATAAGCACCAAGTGGCCCTTTTGGCAGATAGAGCCTCCTGTATCCCCACATTAAGCTCCATCAGCACCTTGCTGAGTTGGTTGATTTCTCTCATTTCCATGTTGCCTTGGCAACAATTCTTATTGATTTTCTTGACCTTCGGTGTCATAGCAACAACATCCTTGTGGAAAGCACCTTGCGATTTCAAGGGATCTGCAAGCTTGGCATCAATTACACTGTCCTGGAGAAGAGTTGACAGAAATAAATTATGAAAATTGCATTTGTGCATATGAGTATGTATACAAGTGGTAATGGTCTCTTGTCAAGACCAAATTGAGTGTCATGCTTGGTTTGATCACACAGACCTTCACAGAAATGTTACACTAGTTTCTAAATGTGGGTGCTGCAGTCTGAAACATCTCATCACATAGCATGCTCAGCTAAATTAGATAAACTAAGCATCAAGTTACTAGGACATCTCTAAATTCCTAATGAAAAGAAAAAAATATTGACTTATCAAAAAGTTATTATCCATTTTAAATTGTGGATCTTTTAGCATTTTCAGGATTAGGGCTGAAAAGTTTCAGAAACTGACAAAAGTTATGTAACATACTTGCAGAGACTATCTATAAATTGCTCACTTCTTTGAAATCTGTAACTTTCATTATTGAATAGTTAAGTTGTGGAACAGAACACAAACCATAGACCACAAAGACTGACCAAAATAATGTGGAAGAGTGTTAAAAACATTTTGCCTATAGGGAAAATCTGACTAATTCTACAGGTAGATACAGTAAAAATATAGGGTACATCTGCAAAGGAACAATATATAATTCTTCAGCACTGTACAATAACCCCAGTAAGGCAATGTGTTGTGGGCAGTGTTTCTAAACTTGATATTGCCCCTGCTTGCTACTCAATCTCAAGCTATATCACTTCGATAAAAAAGAACAATCTGATCCAAACTGATCATCCCTGTCTGGTCTTCATCCCCTGAAAGCTGAATGTTCTAGGACATGATTAAAATGATATATATTTAATGCAATTGTGATTGCAATCATAGGGGGACATTTTTTATTTAAAAAAATGACATGCCTAGCAAAAGATTGGGCATATTCTAACATACTGTAATGCATTTGGATAGAAGTAAATGGTTATTCCTTTTTGGACATTTCAGTTGAAAGTTGAAAAAACTATTTTCCAAATTTTTCATTTAAATGAGCTACTACTAAGATATACAGATGCAGCCATTCAAAGTGAGCGGTACAGACACGTACTGGAGGTAATTGGCTGCGGTGTCGCGCATCGTGACGCAAGATGATGTGGGGTACCGCGGTACGTGATTGAATGACCGACAGGGGCACTCGTGGTCCGTTGGTCTGTCGTAGAAAGATTTACAGTACAGTAAACGTCTTTACTGTGCCCGTTGTAGATATTGAATTTTACCACTGAAGGGAAATCTTAGTAGCTGACCATAAAAAGAATAGGAGCATACTGTAACACGTGTGAAGGCCATAAACGATATTAATTTTGGAACATAAACATACAGTACTGTATATGGCTGGTCTTGGTACTTTAAAGTAAAAAATACACACCAGTATTCCATTTCTCCCTAAACATTTTAAGCATCGAAGTCTTTAACTAAAGAGATACCGGAGTCAACAAGCA